TTTTTTAACAAAAAATTAATATTTATATAAATATTTATAATATTTACATACAAGCCATCCCCAGTCAGTCACATGATCACCAAGCCACACCCACAAATTAGGCCATGCCCACAGAACCGGTTAGTGGTCCCTAGGATTTAAAATTATGAGTTTAGTGGTCCCTGAGGTCCAAAAGGTTGGCGACCCTTGATCTAGTTCAGTGCTAATGGCTTGTTTTAACCAGATGTAACAGATTTGTAGCCATTTATTTAATTCAAATCTGTGAAGTGTGGGAAAGGGTTCCAAAGGGTTCCACCTGTAAGCATTTCCAAACAAAAGCATCAGACCACTAAGACATTTGATCATCTATATTTTCTTGGAAGCAATTCTAAGACACGTGAACAAGCCTATCTGCACTGTGTGTACATTTCAACATTTCATGTAAGTATGTGTAACATGAATACCTGGATATTTTCGCTTAAAGGAGGTTACCCCCAAGTATTCACTAACTTGTTCTTGAAGCATATAATATTCTCCAGTTTCATCTGGTGGCCATTTGTATTCTATCAGGTTTTCAGCTGGAAAATAACTAAAACTAAACACAGAAAATCAAATTATTAAATTGTAAGAATTTAACTCCACAATCCAAACAGAACCTACATTCAATGCCATGTGCTCTGTAGTAACACTTTTATATATCTATATTCTTAATAATTTTGTAGCTCACTAAAGTGGAAAAATAGTGACACATTTATTATATTTCACCTTTATTATTTTGTAGTAACTCAAAGTGGTAAATATATACAATACACCTTTATCTATTTTTCCCAACATAAGAATCATTTAATTACCCTAAAAATACATTTTCTGTTCCCCATTTTGAACTATCAAGAAGTATCAATCTCCTCTATCCAAATACTTCTGGTGGCTATCTTTATACATTGATAGCACATTTCAGTGTTCTAATTCATGAGGATTCTGTATACCCTAGTAAATAAGACAACAAAGACCATGCATTTATTTTGTTGAAAAAACAATAATATATCAAACTAGAGCAACTTTTTAAAAAATGGCAATACCTAAGATCTTGACTTGAAGTCTCACAACTTCGTGAGCTGTCCCCTGAGCCCATGCGACGTCTTTTAGATGGTTGGCTACCATCATTTGAATTTTCTTCTATGTCATCCTGAAATTATACCATAATGTCAAGTGTTGAGCAACAAAATACCAAAACCAAAAACACACTTATCAAGAGTATGAAATATTTGGATTTGAAAATCTTAAAGAAACTGAACATCAAAAATAAGTCAAGGAGTTACACAGGGCCATGATATCTTTAGGGAAATCTACAAAGCCTATAGGTATAGGTACTGTACTCTAGAATATATGTTAATACTATATACAGCATGTTGGAATTGGGTACAGGTAACCCTCAACTTACAACCACAACTGAACCCAAAATTTCTGTTGCTAAGCAAGACAGTTGTTAAAGTTTTGCCCCATTCTAAGATTTAATTTTCCATAGTTGTTAAGAGAATCACTGCAGTTGTTAGCATTATAGCTGTAAAGTGAATTTGGCTTCCCCATTGACTGTGACCATTAAATATGAACCAGTTGGCAAGCATCTGAATTTTGATCACATGATCGTGGGGATGCTACAACAATTGTGTACGTTACTTCTTTCAGTGCCGCTGTAACTTTAAAAATCACTAAATGAACTGTTGTAAGTTGAGAACTACCTGTACAGTTCTTGGTTCACAGTTAAGAATCACACTTTAGGGACTTCCAGTTTGAGCTTCTTCGGCGACAGACCAAAACCGCATCTCTGCACGGTTTCAATCTGTGCTCGCCGTTGGAGCGCCCCGAGCCGGCTGGTTTCGGGGCTAAGCCACCCCGTAGAGGTGGTGAAGAAGGGGGAAACTGCCTGCAGGGTTGAGGAGAGCCGCATCTCTCCTCCCCAGCTGGCCATTACTCCCTTTCCCAAAGGTGGTTGTAGCAGTGGTCAGAAATGGCCACCACAAAGAAGAACTCGACCAGAAAAGAAAGTTTTGGTTGACCGGGTCAAACAGCAAAAGCAACAAATAAGGTACCCTGGAATTGAAACTATTAAAAAAAAATCAATAACATTGTTCCCTAAGAAGATTTCTAAGCTGCGAAGGAGAGAGAAAAGGGAAAGGATTTGGGTTTTTTTCTCCTCTTCCTACACTGACAGCTAAGAGACTAAAGCAAGAAATTGGAAAAAAATCCACTTTGATATTAATAGACATTTAATGCTGAAAATAAAAAGTCAAAGGGATAATAAAAATTTCTGGATAACTAAAAACTTTTGAAAACAGGAAAGGAGAGAAAAGGAATAAAAGGGCAGGATCTGGAAGGGAGGAGACTGCCTGGAATTAAAAAGAACTTACAGCAAAATCTAAACAAGATTTCCAAAAGATGCATCTTAACTGAAACATCGCAACAAAATAGTAAAACCCCAGGAAGAGAAAGTGAAAAAAGAAACAAGAAGAAACAGCTTGGGACTATTTGGATTACTTGGTGATCTCTGGATTCTTGGTTATTGTATTTGAATGACTAAAATCAATCAGGTGGTTGTTTAAAACTGTTTAAAATGCCTCCACTTTTAGAAGAACTGAAAATGGAACTTAAAAAGTACAAAGAAGATGCACAAGAAGGGAGAGGTTCTTTTGGCTTCATATTTCAGTTCTTAAAAATGGAGATTTAGAACTATGAGAAACAACAAGAAATGCTTGCAGAACAAGAAGATTGGGACAAAGAAGAAGCCATCTTTAATGAACAAGTAATCTTAGGTGGGGGAAAAAAGGAAGGGGGAAAGAGAATGGAAAGTTTAAGATTGGGAAAAACAACCCCAAAAAAGAATAGTGAAAAATAAGTATAAAATCATAAAGCAACAGAAGAGGGAAATGCAGAAGAGAGAATTAGAAGTAGAGAAACAAGGAGGTAAAAAGGGGAGAGAGAAGAAGAGACGGAAGAAAGAAAGGAAAAGAAGTTATAAAGGACAGAAACAAATATAGAGAAACAGGGCCTATTTAGAGATAATGGGTGAAAATCTAATGGAACAAGGGATTCTGCAAAGGTACATAAGATAGTATTGTTATATTAGAAATAGAAATAATTTCAGAAAATATGAAACAATGTATGATTAAAATGTTTGATAAAATAGTTATTGTAACTTAGTGAAATGCTTGTCAATAAATAAATGTAACAAAATAAATATTTAATGATTTACAAAACATATGTGAAGAGGAATAAGGGAAAAAATAATTATGGAGATTATACGTGTCTTTAAGGAAGTATGACATTTAATTGAAAAATGTTAAAGATGTTAAAACTTTAATGATTATTAATGATAGAACTGAATTGGAATGGAATGAGGGTTTATAATTACATATATTTATAATCCTTTTTTAAAAAGAGAATATAGTGTGTATTATAAGAATGTACCAAGCAGAATTCGATTGGAAGTTATGTATTATGTATTATGTTGAAGGTCATAACCTTAAGGTATATATTGAAGTTTATATAAGAGTTGAATGGATATAATTAAAAGATATAAAGGTGTCATACTCCAATTAGTAACTACAGGAGAAAATTTGTTTAATGAGAAAAGATAATATGAAATTGAAACAGAACAGACAAAGTATAAATATAATGAATTGAGATGAGATAATCAAAATAAAAATGAGGAAATTTAAAAAAGGGGAAAAACTACATAGAAAATGTAGAATAGTGTAAGATATGGAATAGAACACAAAAATGAGCATGAAATTGAGTTTGTGTCTGTACAAAGAAATTCAACCCAGGACGATGCTATTTTCAAAAAAGACTTTATTTAAAAAAAAAGAATCACACTTTAACAAATAAAATAGTACTGTCACCCTGAAGGCAATCCTAAAGCAATTTAAACTTGGAAACTCTGAAATCAATGTGACTTACTTCTTAATAAACACATTTGATGCTTGAAAGCAGGTGGCCAGGTAGGAGATGCCAGCATTATTTTCTTTTTATATCAATTGGCATGAGACCTTAATATTGCTGATTGCTTATTGTACCCTATGACTATCATTAAGTGTTGTACCTTATGACTCTGGACGAATGTATCTTTTCTTGTATGTATAGTGAGAGTACTTACACCAAGACATTCCTTGTGTGTCCAGTCATACTTGGCCAATATTCTATTCTATTCAATTCTATATGCTGTAGGACAAATGGTTGCTAGCTACAATACTTTTCCCAGCATTACACTAAACAAATGGGAAGCAAGGAGATGGCAATTTGGCTAACTATCAAAAGCCCCATCCCCATATTCAGGCTATAAATGTACTGCAGAGTTCGCCTTCTTAGATGAGTGGGCCTGCTGCATCTTTCAGGAAAAAACAACACTGCAAAGTCTCTTTTCTTTTTCTTTTTTTAAAAATAAATTTTATTTGGGTTTTCACAAAACATAATACAAATAAAACATCTTTTTTGAGAATATCATGATCCTGAGTTATCACTTCTCCATCCAGACACAAACTCAATTTCATATTTGTCTTTGTGTTCTATTCCATATCTTATTACTATTTTAACATTTTCTCCATGTTTCCCCTCCCTTGGTTTTTTCAACTTTGTTTTTAATTATCTCATACCTATCTAAATTCAATTATATATCTTTTTCTAAGTTTCAATGTCTTTCTAATCATATTTATACTTTTGTCTGTCGTATTTCATATTTTCTTTTCTCATTAAACAAGTTTTCCCCTGTAGTTACTAATTGGAGTATGACACCTTTGTTGTATCTTTTAATTTTGTCCATTCAACTCTTGTTTAAAGTTCAATTTATGCCTTTACAATTTATAACATTCAATATAACACATAACTTCCAATCGAATTCTGCTTGGTACATTCTTAAAATACACACGATGTTCTTAAAGATATATAACAATAGTAAATAAAACACTTATTCTATTCCAATTCAGGTGCAAAGTCTCTTTTCATTGACCTCAGGTCTACATATTTGCGATTCAATCTTTTAAGAAGAAGAAAAAAATCAAGCTCCCCAAAGTCTAAAGTGACACCGAGTTCTTAAAAAAAAAAACACCTCTCCTTCAACCCGGATGCCCCACTGTTTATGGCGAGTTGTTCAGCTGTCAATGTTCTTTATTTCCTTTAAGCGAACTTCCTTTAACTTCGGATGTGCTAAAATTCTTCGACTTCTGTTCAGTCCTTCAAAGGAGAGTTAAACAGGGGAGGATCCAAGGAAATCTAACCACAACCACCGCAGCGTATAACACCCGGTGGCAAAACAGTTTGACCTCCAGGTGCCTTCAGAGAGTAAAATACTAAGACCGGGGGGGGGTGGGGGTTAATATTGAGAATCAAAGCCGAAAGAGCCGGGGTAAGCATCGGGGGAAAGAAAAACAAGGCTGCCTCGCCAGGGAGGGAGATGCCCTGTCCCAGGAGGCGATGAGGCGGAGCCGCCAGAGACCTTCCCGGGAGGCTCCTCCTCTTCACGGAAGGTGGTGGAAAGATTTAAAATCCCAGCCCACGAGGGGTCTCGCCGCCGCCCTCCACGGAGGAACGAACGGCTAGCCGACCGGCGCCCCTCGGAAGGGGAGGAAAATGGCGTAAGCCGACGGGGCATCCTCCTCCGCGACGGACGGTAGGCACCGACGGAAGGAAAGGGGGACCGAGAAGACTAAGGTAACTTCCCAAGCTCTACCTGAGCGCCGCCTCACCTTTAAAGACTGGGCTCCGGGCGTGGCTGGGTCGCTGTCGCACACCCGCGGGGACAGCACCGCCGCCATCACCGGCCACGGATGGGCTGGGCTAGAGACCGCTTCGCCCTCTCCTCCCACGCGCCAGCACCGCCCCCCCCACCTTACACACACCCGGTTCAGGCCCGGCGCCACCTGCAGGCCCGGGGATGGCAATGCAGGCGCCGAATCGCCTTTTCTTCGCTCTGCTGGAGGGCGCGGAATCTTTTCCTTCACGAGTAGCTTCTAGCCTGGAATTGCTGGTTCAGAAATGGGGCGTGAAAAGCGTGATTTAGAGCCTGCGCTATAAATGCATTCCTTTACTCGGTCAGATTGCAGTTTTATTACGAGCGGCAGCTGTTTTCTTAAAGGTGTTATTGTCACCATCTGGGGGAGGAATGGGACAACTTGATGCGGCCAACTCCCCACAGCGAATTCACTGCGGGACAATTCAACGATTCAATTTAAGCATTTTAAATAATTTTAAAAACATTTAAATTTTATTAACATGTCATTCATAGTTCATCTTGTCCCTCCTTTTGCATCCTTTAACAATTTTATCCCACTGTTTCTTTGATATTAGGGTACCTTATCCTGCAGCGAGTTGTCTGGGTCGAGTTGTCTTACACCCCACCCCATCTGGCCGTGAACTCAGTGAAGTCCGCAAGTGTATTGAGTCAATATTTAAAAATATATTTTTTTAAAAAAGATTGTTTTATCTTGCCTATTACTTTTTATTAATAACTCAACCCTGCAGTCTAATATCATTCCTCTCCTTCAATCTGTATTTTCTCCACAACAACCATCCTGTGAAGTGAGTTAGGCTGAAAGCGTGTTGACTGGCCCAGTTGCTCAGCCAGTTTTTATGCTGAGGCAGAACTAGAACTCATGGTCTCCTGATATTTTTATTTCTTCTAATCTAGGTAATCAGTGTCCTCCCAGATGTTTGATGATGTATATGTATGTGGAGGCAAGGCACTGAATCAAACTGAGACTCAGTCAAGCCCACTCATAAAACAGAACTAGATGCTACTGCAATCATGTGGGCTTGGTTGCAAATGTTTTAAAATCTTAATGGTCAGCCATGGTGATTGGGAGAAAAACCAAAGAAGCAAAGGCAAGTTACCAGTCTAACAAACACAGTAAGTGTTGCATAAAATATTACCACCCTATCTGGGCTGCAAATATTCAAATCATTGCAAGATGACAGGAAATCCAGAAATGTTTTCTGCCATCTAGTCTAGATTTTTTAAGTCCAAACTAGACAGACCATGACCCCTTGAGTAATTTTTCTTTCCAGATATAAGGTAGGCTTGTACCATTTCCTCTCATTTCACCACCCTCAGGAGAGCCAGTGAAGTTGTGCTCTCCTCTACCACCTCAGCTGATCTGAGAAACTCCCTGCCACTGGGGGGGAGGGGGCAGGTGGGTGGAACAAAGATTGGTGAACCATCGGGAAAAACTGCACTCCTGTTCCCGTTCTGGTTTTTCCCAAGGCCCTCCTCCAAGAAGAAACCATCAGTGTCTCCCAATCAGCTCTACCTTGCCAACAGACATCTGAATTATTCCCTTGTTTCTTCCCCAAACCAGCCACTGCTGTTAAAAGATTTCAAATTTCAGCCTTTATTCCAAAACAGCCAATAGCCACTTGCCTGTTGAGTTCTGCCACCAGCTGATTGGACATAGGGGCCACAGGGAGGGAGAAAAGAGTGGGGATACACCTGTTTCCATTTTCCTTTGCATCAAGCAACCAATGGGTTTCTGGGAAGTGTAGTCAGAAGGTGTGGTGGTGCTGAAGTGACAACTTTAACAAATTTCCATGGGAACAATGGGTCCTGGATTTTGAATGCATTCTGTAAGTTAGCTCTTTTGATCCCAAACTTGTTACTCTATGATGCACTGTTTTACCCAAATTGAAGATTATAAATTATCAAACAGATAATAAGAGTTTTAGCAGTATACAGATATGTATAAAGTCCTAAACTGGACTCAGCTGGCAGGGAAAGTCACTAATTATGATTACTTAACTGACAGATGCTGCAAGTTTGAAAAGATTGCAACCCTGACTATAGGGATGCTGGACAATCAAGAACTTCAAGACTAGTTGTAATCCACACTCTTTCAGCACCATCATAACGTTGGTCACTGAATGAATCATCTTTAACCAAGGACTACCTGTAGACAGTAACAGGCATGCCCAGTTGTTTGATTATCAATACTCAACAGGCAGCAAGGAGTATCACTTTGTCATAAATGTTTTGCACAAAAAGTGTTACAGTGGTAGTGTGGTTGAAGCAAATATATTTATTTGAGCAAATAGAACAAGAAAAATCTCAATATACTGCTACAATGCTTCCTTACTGTTTGTAAGCCATCTAGAGTTGCTGTGAGTGAGTAGGCGGCTATATAAATGTCCACAAATTAATTAAATTATTAATTACTCAAAATAGGAAGCAACTACTAGAGCCACCATAATGTAGTTCTCAGTTTCATATTGTGCTTGGACCCAAGTGTCTCTTGCAACATCCCAGACCCATCTGCTGGCAATCTGGGAAAAAGAAAAGAACAAAGTAACAACAAATTAATTAACATACCTTTTAAAATTATAATTCATAATCACATAACAAATCTATTGCAACAATATATCTTCATGAACATAGCCTAAAATATAAAAGAAGACTCAAATTAAAATCCAATCCCATAATTAATCAAAAGATATAAAGAAAATTAGATTTAGCATTATACAGAAAGCAAAGTTTGCACAAATTCCCTGTACATAAAAAAATGTACTCATGGAAATGGGAATTATATATTGCGGACAGGTATGTAGGCAATGTTCACAATACATGGTTATTTTGCAAAAATTAAAACACATACAATTTACCTCAACATTTAAATTTAAAAACTGATTCACATTTCCCTGAGTTTTTATACTTCAAAAGGAAAAAAAATCCAGAGGTCTATGTAATTTTGTTATAAAAATAATGCAGAATCTTTAAAAGTATGGGGAAAATAACAGTTTTATTTTTGAATAAACATATATATTCATGAGGTGAATTATTGTGAGTTAAGACCATATACATACCAAGGCATTAAAAAATAATTCAGAAAAAAATTCAATCCATGCAGTAGGTCTCAATTCTCTTCCTATTACTGGTGATTCTACTGTATGGCTTTCCAATTGTTTTTAATGTTTGTTTTGGCTGTGTTATTTTTTTATTTTTCAGTACTGTTTTACTTGTAGGCTATCCAGAGTCATGAATGTGAGATGGGTAGCTATATAAATGGAATACATATGTAAATAGGTAACTGTTTTGTACATCCTTCATAGTACCTATTGCTGGGCAAAAGCTTATAGCTAGCTAATCCTTTCAATCCAGACACATCCAAAGCATAAAGAGGTGCTCCAAAATAAGTACATATTGCTGGCACCTTATTTATTTCATTGATGTACAAATGTGAGATGGGTATTAAAATGGCCAACAAACAAAACCAGAAACCAATAAGAAATACAATACTTCCCTTTAAAACCCAATTAAAATCAAGAGATATAAAAAAGCAGGCAAATGAAAGTTATAGATCAATCAGTACAACATCTAGTATAGGTCAAACCATAACTGGATCCCTAAGCATAGGTGGCCATGTCTTTGGAGACTTTCAAAGGGCCAGGGTGGGCAACTATGGTTCCTACGTGGATTTCAACCCCCAGAATTCTGGGAGTTGAAGTCCAAATATTACAAAAAGGCCATAGTTACCTACCCATGCTCTAGGGGAATTCTGGGAGTTGAAGTCCAAATATTATAAAAAGGCCATAGTTGCCTAGCCCTGCTCTAGGGGAATTCTGTTCCAAAGGGCAGGCATTAGAGCAGAAAAGTGTCTCCTGCCAGGAGGTCATCTCCTATCAGATGACATTCCTTAATAGATCACTCTGAAAATACACCATAATTTTATTTGCATCTATACAAGCAATAACACAATACATACTGGATCCCCAGCAAAGCTTTGACAGTAGCCATATTATCTTTGAAATATGGTTCCTCCTTGTCACCACTCAGGGTCAATTCTACTTGCTGTGAATGTTTTAGTACAAGGGCACTTATATTTCTGCAGTTCATATATTTGATGCACATGAGGGCATCTCATCAGTTTGGTAATGAATGTAGCTTACATGTGCATGAGGTAGGAGGGTCCTTTTTACCACAACCTCCATAACATGCTTTTTCTGTCACATCTGATAGAACACTGAGAAGCAACCGGTAACGTGCAACAACTTTAGTCATACTAACTTAGGTAAATAAAGTGCTTCATTTCATCAAGTGAACACAGTAGATCTGATTGGTGATGTGTGCAGAACAGTTTATTACATCTTACCAGTTTCAACCTGAGCTAATTTTCTGCAGATGAATTTGAACTCAATGAAAAAAACAGCTATGATGGCTATTACTTACATGCTTTGCTTGCATTTTTTCCATATGCTGACTGTTCTTGAAAATGCTGGAACATAAGACCTTGTGTATGATTTAACAAGGTAGTCCATTCCACTTTAGTAATCTGATAGGGTCCCATTTGAAAAATAATATTCTGCACAACTGCAACAGGCAAATGTGGGCATTTTTCAGAGAACAGAATAGGGTAGTTTATGTACTTACATGTATTGACTGACCAGTCTTTTGCACAAGAAATAACTGAACTATATACTTGTAACGATCAAACCCCAGATCCTTGACACCTGCTAATATATCTTCTGAGATAGCTGTACAAGTGGGGGCACCATTGATTCCAATATATTTGAAATCTTGAAGTTTCTGCTATTAAGGATCAAACAAAATTACCAATAATTGTAATTAAATATAAATATAAATGGTCTATACAGCACTCATTTAACATTTAAAGCTATTCTATGTTTGATACATCCTGTAGGTATATTGTTTTTCAGTAAAAATAGTATTCAATAGGGTTTGTAACTAAGTGTTTTTAACCAAACCTATGTAATAGGACTGTATTCAGTTTGAAGGTTTGCTTCATGGAACTTTAGCTTTAAACAGGCTATTCACTATCCCACTGATTTTAGAAAAAAATGTCAAACTGCTTTTTGACTGCAATAGAGCACTGTTGCAACTTATTAAAAATAATCCCATTTTAGGAACTATTTTGACAAGTTAAATATAACTTCACAAGATGTTAGAATATATTTGCTTATTATTATTTTAGTTTAGGTTTATATTACTTTAATTTTAGAGATTATATTCCCCAAGGAATTCTATGAACTAATTTGTTAGAAATGTTCAGAATTCAACTGCAAGATCTCTGGTTTGTTCATAGAGGTTGGAATTGCCCATACTGTAGTACATGTTACCAAAAGGTAACAGCTAAATTATGTCAGGTGGTAGATCTTAGTGAAGAAGGGCCCTGTCACTTTCAAAAGTCCACTATTGATGTCCAATACTTTTTACTTCTTGTTTCTTCTTACACAAGAAAGTTCAACACAAAGAGATAACTACTGCTTCTTGCATGGACAAAAATAATTTGAATAGGACAAAGAAGAATGCCAACACTTCCCAACTCACCCTGTAAGGAATCCTTCAATCATCAGTCACTTTTCTTCTGGAAAATACTCAAGGCAGACAGGAAAGAGCTATTACAGGCTATTAGTAGCCAAGTCAGAAGTGCCCCATTTGGGCACTTGCAAATGAACTCATGGGAATTTCAGTAATTTTAATTAAAATCAGTTCATTATACACACACTTCTCCAATACTGCTGATATTTCTATTAGTGTATGACAACATGGAACAAGTGGCTCAAGTGGTTAGAACTCTGGGTTGAAGGTTAGAAAGCCTGCATTCGAGGCCCAAGTGCTGCTGCTTTGCGGGGTTAGCTGCCATCATTCGCTCAACCAGAACATGAAAGGAGCCCCCTTGGGCATCCCCCAGGCAACAGTGATATCAATGGCTAATCCTTTCAACCTGGAAGTGCCTTAAAAGGTGCTTCTCGCACAAATGGGACTGAAGTGTATGAGGATGATGAATAGGCTCCATTTAGACACAATTATTTTTCACATGACTGTTGTAACATCCCCATGGTCACATCAAATTTCAGGTGCTTGGCAACTAGTTTATATTTATGGCGGTTGTACTGTCCTGGGTTTTGGTGATCAGCCTCTGACAAGCAAAATCAATGGAGAAGCCAGATTCACTTAACAACTAAGTTACTAACCTAACAAATGCAATTATGCACTTAACAGCTATGGCAAGAAAAGACATAAATGGGGAAAAACTCACTTAACAAATGTTTCACTTAGCAACATAAATTTTGGGTTCAATTGTCATAACCCAAGGACTACCTGTACTTTAATAAGTTATTTGCCATAAACTACATTTTAAATGAACTTTGCTGTTAATAGGAGATATAACAAAAGTGTTAAATAATATAACTTATGGTTTAGAACCTAATTCTTATTAGAAAATACTTTACCTTTAGAATATCTTCAGCTCTCTTCCTTACTATATGAGACTCACATTTTCTATAAGGTTCCATCCTGTAAGTGTTACCATATTTCTGTCTTGCAAAGCTAGTCTTGAATACTAAGAGCTCATTTTTTGTAAAATCTGTGACGGATTCATCATCTGGGTCCATAGCTGATATGTCATAGCTTGAAGCTCTGTGTTTTCCTGACACTGAAGGCTAAAAACCCCCAACACATAAAGACATCTTTATTTCACTCACAAAATTAAAATGACAAAACTTAAACATAGTAAGAGGGGGTTAGCTTTTTTTTCATCCTGCCCTCATTTTTCATATATAATTCAAGGTAGTTAAAAGACCAATTCTTCCTTTTCCCCACAACCACCCTGTGAGGTTGGTTGAACTAAGAGTGACTGCTCTGAAGTCACCTAGCCAGTTTTTCATGTCCAAGGCAGGAGTAAAATTCACAGTATCCTGATTTATAAGCCAGGATTACTGTACCAGAGTGGCTCTTTAACTGAATGCAATGGAATGTTCTGATTTACAGCCACATAAATTAGTTCTGCATTGTATATATTCCATGTTGCTTAACATGGAACCCCAGAGTTATAATTTTATGAGGGAAGACAAAATTACTTTATTTTCTACACATTGTTTAATCAAACTTCCATTTGGGACATAATCATTACGTTTAAACCATATTGATCTCTTGATCTTGCAGTTGCTTTTCTGAAAAAATTTCAGTCAGCACTTTATATAGTCCCCAAAAGTTTGGACAAACATTGCCTCTCCCAAAGACAAAGATACTCAACAGTATTCAGAGACTCAGACTACAAAACTTTGTCTTTATTTTTGGTGCATCAAAAGTAGCAATCTTATGAATACTTTCCCAAGTGTCTTACCTAATTCAGTACATTTTATATGTTCATTTAAACCAATGTTTTTCAAACTTTAAGATGCTTAATATCTTTAACACATCTTAAAATTGTAAAATTAAAAAAAGTAATTTAAACGAAACGTAATCTTCGTAAATGACTATGTCTTGTCTGCTCAACTTGCAGTGGATGAAGGGTTCATTATAAAGTAGAACAGCGTACTTGACTCAGAGTTGCTAATTAATGGTTCTCCAAGGGAAAGTTTCTATTATGTGATTCATGCATAGGGTACTTGAAGAATTTGTGAAACAGAAACATTCCAATTTGAATGTTGATAGTGTGTTAAGTAATAAAGAGAAGCAAAGATAATATATGTATAGAGAAGCTAGAATGGCATACATTTGAATTATTACAAGGAATAAAATGTACATCTTTACAGTACATAATCAGAATATAGTAGAAACCAACATTAACCCTCCTGAACAGGGTCTCCTTAGATCTGTAACATGCTTGACATAAACCAGAATTTCTCAACCTTCCCTTCTGCTGGCTTAGGGTGTCGAAGTCCCAAGCGTCTTAGAGCTGCCAAGGTTGAGAAAAACTGGTAAGACAGCTTTAGTGTGGTTCACAGCAAGCACTCCTCGTGTAGCTTAACACAACTTTGGACAGAGCCCATATCTACCCAGCGTTTTAATTGAGTAAAAAAAACAAAAGTCCAGCTTTCCAAAATGCAACATCCCAGCAAAAAGGGAGCTTTCCTTGCCGTTCGGCCCCGCCCACTCGGCGGGAAGCCTTCTGACCCGAAGGCCGCCCCAATGTCGCTCCGCGCACGCGCAGATGGAGCCGCTCCGCCTTGTCTTACCCGACCGAGCTGATCTTTGTCTATGTTGCTGTGTTTTCTTCCCCATGCCTGGCCAGCGTGGGAAGGAGTGACGCCCAGCTTTTTTTTGGCTTTATCCATTGGGAACTCCTCCCTTTAGGCAACTGTCTGGAGCGGACGGTGGTTCACTGGCGCAGCAACCGTCCACACACGGACCCGTCAGGAACAGCCTTTCAGAGGCGCGAGGCTGGTCTCTGCCCGTGACGTCAGTAAGCACGAGCTAAGCAACCCAAGAACCAGAACCGAGCTGAGGTAAATGCGCGGCGGACCAGTCTTCCCGCAATCTGGCCGCTCGCCTAAGGGGCGTTGGAGGATTTCTGGGGATTGTAGTTCAACTTTTGGGGCGCGGTGCTAGGAGCGAGAGCGCCTCATATCGGTTCAGATCGACTTTTTTGTTGTTGTTTTCTGCCTTGCCATTTCCTCCTTTTGCTAAACGCCGGGTTAAACAGTTTAAAGGCAAAGTACGTAAACTTTTTGCCATCATACCTTCCTTCCTTCGTTGTCATCTCTAATGTACACACCTCCCCTAAAACTACAAACACCAAAATGAATATAGGAGAACAGTGAAGCTGCAAGAAAGGTGGATTTCAAATGTAATTAAAAGGTTCTTCAGAGGTCCTCTGGACTCTGCTCTGCCCCAAGGGAGGCACACCTCACCGTTTGGGGAACCTGGCTTGGGAAAGGGTTATGTTTGCATGGAGACACAAGGAATGTATCTTCCTTGCAACTTGCCCCTGGGTGTTTTTGCTGCTGTTAAAGCTCCAGTCCTAAGGAAGGAAGACAAATCATGATTGTAATGGAAACTAAATATTATTTCACAGCAGTGGTAGAAAGTTCTAATTTTGCTGGCAACACTTGTGAGTTGTGACTTTTCACAAATTACCGGTAGTGCTTGACTTACAGCCATTTGCTTAGTGGCCGTTCAAAGTTACAAGGGCACTGAAAAAATGAATTATGACCAGTTCTCATATTTAGGACTATTGCAGCATTCTCATGGTCACATGATCAAAATTCACTTGCTTGGCAACTGGCATGGATTTATGACAGTTGCAGTGTCCTGGGGTCATTTTTCAACCTGTCAAGCAAAGTCAGTGGGGATGCAGATTCACTTAACCATGTTTCCAATTTAACAACTGCAGTGATTCACTTAACAACTGTCTTGCTTGGCAACAGAAATGGTGGGCTCAATCGTGGGTCATGAGTCAAGGGCTGCCTACAGGTAAAATTTGTAAAATGAGGCCACCTGCTTTCCTAAGGCAGCCTAGAAAGAACCTAGGTTGTAAGTGGAGAACTACCTGTATTTGCTTTCACCCAGTCAGCTAGACAGAAATGCATCTTAAATACAGAGGTTCTGTGACTGCCTGGCATAATTAGTATTAATGTTGAAACGTTTGCTTAATTGTGACCTTTATTTTGTTGCACTGCATTGTTCTGGGATTACAAAGTAATTGCATTGTGGGTTGGTGCTTTATTTAAAAAAAAGATTCTGATGTGAGGCCTGCATTAGGGTTACTAGTCTGGGCTGTAAAGTTATCAATGACCACAAAAAGGCAGCAATAACATTTTTTGTTTCTCCTATTCAGAAGCTATCTTTCCCTAATGTGAATGAGGAAAAAAAAACTGTTCTGTTTATCCAGAGGAATTAGAAGCATCATCCTTAGGCAATGGGGAATGCATTTATGCACAGCTTCATTACAAGTGGTGGCTGTTTTCTCCCAAATTTATTTATTACGACCATAGTTAGGTCAGCAAATATTAATACGTTGAGGCCCATAATTGGTGAAATGAGTTGGGCAAGGCTCTCCAGGTTGAACTGGAGAGTTCCCTAGAGACTCTCTGGTTAAGCCTACCTTCAGTTGTGGAAGCGTTCCAGATCCAGATGATTGTAACATGGTCAGGAAGAGTTGAGATTTGCAACCCATGATTATTATTGGATACTAAATCTTAAGACATCCTCTGAAATATAAAGAAGAGAAAGATTTTTGGTTGTAAACTCAATTGAATACTTATTGTGTAATAACATTTGACTAAATGACACAATAAAAAAGCATTTTCTTAGACCCAGCACATCTTTCATCTGCAGTACTGATATTTATTTATACTAAAGGATTGTCAAATGATTTTATTCAATCCTATTTGTAGAAGGTGGGTATAACAGGTGTTATATAACAGTGTGGAAAAAGTTCATAGCAGGGCTGTTTGCAAGATACTTTCAGCTCCTGAAACCTGTGGGTAAATGCCCCACATGTACAGAGTAGTTTTAAAAATATTTTAAATTATAATAAAAAACATAAGCAGGTATTATTTATGATATCTTTAGGCTGACAAGTAGGGAGGAAAAATGCTGTTGCAGTGCCTACCCAAATACCCATGATCTTTCTCGATTACATTAACTTTCATCCTACAGAGGGAAAGTCAAAAATATCAAACCATCAAAAAATACAAAAATTGGATAGGAAAAAAAAATCAAAATGTCAAATCTCCATGTAATACAATTGTCAGCATTGGAATTTTATTTTCATTTTTGCCACTGTTTAACCATGGGATGTAGCAATATGAAATACTGATAAAATATGTAAAAGTAATTCTGACAGTAATTACGTTCACAAACAAAATAAGTGAGGCTGTAAGAGTTCCCTTTTTATCTCTCCATTTGCCTTTTTATTTCATTTCAGATGTTCTTAGCTGATCCACCATCTACCTGCCTTTCCCCTACAGTGTATTATATGATTTGTCAAGCCGGATTTGAGAGGAAATCAAGCTGTGCTCTCAGTAGTTTTATGTGTGACACTGGTGAAATAAATTGGGAATTCATCACAAAACATATACGATATGGACAGCAAGGTCTCTATTGCTTTTAAATGTAGTATATTGCTATACTTGGGACAGTAAGACATGTTTCTGAATTAGCATATGCAGTGAAGATCTTTTAATTGTTGGGGGGATCTTTTTGTTAAAAATAATAGAATTCCTAATTTTAGTTATTTAGTTTCAATGACTGTAAGGGTATTATTTAAGATTTTCTACAAAAAAGGGAAAATCCTTAATGAGTTTAGAGGAACCCCTTCAGGAGAAAATATTTTTTTATATTTAGCAGTACTTGACAGTATTCTTGAACTGATCGGTTGTTTTTGTTTTTTAGATCCAACACTGGATTATATCAATAGTGTGAGATCTTTAGGTCCTTTATGTGAATCTATTCACTTGCATTTGAAATCACTTACAGTGGAACAATTTGAAAACCAGTTTGTGGTGTGGCTTCAATGGACAAACTGCCCAGAGGTAGGAAAATGTTGGATTGGATTGGATCCCTGTTCCAAATTTATGGATGAATACACATACATAAATAAATACATACATACATACACATTTCTTCAGCGTATGGCAGGAGTCCCCAACTCCCAGTTCATGGACCGGCATCGGTCTGCAATATGCCAGAAACCATGCCATATAAACAAGCAAAGTCCCGTCCACAGGATGCAGGTAGCACACCCATGCACCCTCCAGTCCACAGAAAAACCTCTCTCCACTGAATTGGTCCTTGGTGCTCAAAAGGTTGTGGGCTTCTGGAGAATGGCATACCATACATGAACTTGAAATATATATTAATATTTCACCTAGCTTAAAAAACACAATAAACGAATAATATTAAATGGAGATATATTCACACACTGTAGCCAGTTATAAATACGTTTTGGTAGGAAAAATTAGGCTTTGAGACTACAACAGCACAGGGTTCTCCAAATAGGCAATATTCTCTCAAAAATGTGTTTTGACTTCAAAAATACTAGTGAGTCTAGGATATTTATTCTGATAATGTATAGTTCTCTGGGTTTTCCACAAAGGAATTGTGCTCTGATACAGAGATGGTTACCCCCGATTTAGAGCTGTGATAAAATTGTCCATCCAAATGGAAATCAATTAGAAAAAAAGAAAGCAAATCATTCAGGCCTTCTCTCCCATGTAACTAAAATAAATCTAGAGCAGTGGTCGCCAACCGGTGGGCCGTGAGAAAATTTTGGTGGGCCGCAGAGAAATGTCCCCCCAAAACACCCCCCCCCCAAAGCCTGCCTACCCGCTGGCTCCCACTCTTCAGCCGAGCAGTACAGCCCTCGCTGGGCAGGACAAGGTAATGGTGCTATTGCAGCAAGAGTGGGATGGCACAGGCGGGCTGAAGCAGCAATGGAGATGGCCGGAAGGTGCAGGAATGCCGCTCTACTTGCAACTGCGTGGCACTCCCACACCTTCCAGTTTGCATCTCCTGGCCTGGGCTCTTCCTCGATGGCCATGGGCTGTAGGGACATCCCAGGGCAAGAAAAATACTGGCTGGTGGTGGTGGGAGGGGGCGGAGTGGGCAAGTCTGCGCTCACCATCCAGTTCAGAGGTCCAGAATGGGGTGTCGGCATCAGTTTTCTCATCCCTCTTGGCGCTCTGCTCTGCTGCCCCCCCCCCCACACACACACACAGCCCCAGCCACTGCTTCCCAGGGAAAGCACAGGAAAGGCAAGCAGAAACATAGATCTTGCTGGGACGAAAGAGCTGAGATCGAGGAAGGAATAGGCAAGAGAAGATGGAAACTGCTGCCTTTGAAAAGCGCCGCGTTCTGTTCCCTGTGTCTTCCGATCTCTGCTCTTTCACCCCAGCAAGAGCTGTTTCTGCTTGCTTGCTTTTCCGGGGGGCGGGGAGGGGGAGCAGAGATGTCAGGGTGAAGAATTGCGAGCGAGCACCAGAGAAAGGCAACACACCTTTCCAAGAAAGGAAAAGCCAACACACGTTTCCAGCCCACTCTCCTTTGTCCCGAAGTAAGATTGAGTGGGGGGAAGGGTAGGAGGAAAGGAGAATCCCGGTTGGCTTTCCTTTGGCATGGGATGGGGGGGAGAGACCAAATGCCCAGACCAAAAGAGTACTGAGGAAGACGGGTTCCTAATAACCAGCCTGTTTGTGCAGTCGAGTGCTCCAGCTTTTCTAGACTCGACACCCGCCCCCCTTCAGCCTCCACACGGAGGGATCCTTCTCTGCTTGGAAGTGACAGGAGAAACCTGGAGCTTAGCCTTGGGGGGTCCTCTTCTTATGTGGAGGCTGAAGGGGGGGGGTGTTGCCTGGTTATTAGGAGCCCGTCAGCGATTCCAGCCCGGCCCTCCTTCCCTCCCCCAAATAACTCCAGGCAGCCACACCTGGCAAAGGAAGGAGAGGTTTCCTCTGACTTGGGGGAGATATGAGATGGCTCTGCTTTTCTTCCATTTGTGGGGAGCCGGTTCCTCCCTGTCCAGATCTTGCCAGCCTCCAGGTACCATGTGACTTCTTAAATCCTCCCTCTTCCCCCCCCCCCAAGGATGAGAGAGGCCTTTCCCTTCACTCTGCCCCACAGTTATGATTAAGCATTTATGATTTTGTTATAATTAAATATGTATGTATGGTATATATAAGCGAAAACTTAAGCGAAAACTTAAGAAAACATGTATGTATATGTATACGTATACATACATGCATACATCAGCTTTGTTCGGGTATTTTCCCACATTATTATAGTTGTGCTTTTAAAGTTTTAGCAACGTTTCGGCAGAATCTCATCTGCCATCATCAGGCTTCTGTATAGCGTTCGTCTGTGAGTTAGACTTTCACAGCCGTTCCTGTTTTAAATTTGATGCTAACCTACTACTGTGCCAGAATGGTTTTTTCTTCATCCTGATTGGTTGGGAGTCTTGGTCTGTGTTTATTGGTCTTGGAGTTTGCTGTGTTCTGCTTGATTTGGTGTTTCTAATATCTTCTGTCTGTTTTGTGGCTTTTTTTGGTCTTGATTGGCTGGTAACATTGTGTTCCTGTATTGGAGGCTTTTAGTGCGGTTTGGCTCTGAGTAAACAGACAGCTATCATTTATTAGGAAGCTAGGTTTCACCTGGGTGCCTGGTTGGGGTGTGTTTGAGCAGGAGGTATGGGGGGGGGTCTGTTTGTGCCCAGGTGTTTGCCTGGCTTGTGGTGTGGCGATTTTTTTGTTTGTGAGTACAAGCTTCCCAACCAATCATGATGAAGAAAAAACCATTCTGGCACAGCAGTAGGCTAGCCCCAAATTTAAAACTGAAACAGGTGTGAAAGTCTTGACTCACAGATGAACACAATACAGAAGCCTGATGATGGCAGATGAGATTCTGCCGAAACGTTGCTACAACTTTAAAAGTACAACTATAATGACATGGGAAAATACCCGAACAAAGCTGAATACCACGCATGTAAGTACCCACAAAAACTTAAGAATATATGTGTGTGTGTGTGTGTGTGTGTGTGTGTGTGTGTGTGTATGTATGTATGTATGTATATAATAAAAATATTTTTAATATTAAATTTATATTTAATATAAGAAATAAAAATTTTATATTAAATATATTATCTTTTTAAAAAACATTGTATTAGTGGACCTCGGGATTTAAAATTCTGAGTTTGGTGGTCCCCGAGGTTGAAAAGGTTGGCAACCCCGATCTAGAGCAATTTATTTTGTAGCTACTTCATGAACTGTATAAGATAGCTGATAGGATTTGGTGGATGGTTATAGTTATTTTGATAATTTTTTGGTCATTTCCAATTCTGTAGCAGAAACATACTGTATTTTTTGGTGTATAAGATGCACTTTTTTCCCACCCCAAATTTGGGTGGAAATGTCTGTGCAAATTATACAGCAAATGTAGCCAAAGCCCCACCTACCCACCGGCCCTCACCCTTCGGCTTCTGCCTCCCAGCAATTTGCCTTACACTTAATTTTTCCATCTTGAATAAACTACAGATATTTCTGGAAATGCTTGATACCATAAAGAATCCACAGGATGCAGCAGTTGCACTCAGTTTAATGAAGCTTACGTCATGTTTGGAACGAGCCTTGGGTGATGTAAGTGCTAAAATATTGGAATATGTCAAACTTCAGGTCAATGAGATCCTTTTTTACACTCAAGGAATCAGTGTTTCATTTCCTTGTTTATTAATTAAAAGGTCACCGATTGTTCGGTATGTAGAATTTGAAACCTCTCTTGGAGTTATAAATCTTGCAATATTAAAAGCAATGATCCAAAGCACTCTATTCTGTATGACTAATACAATATGCACCCATAAATACTCCTATAATACATTTACAGAAAGCTAAGCAAAGTCAGTCAAGTTTTGATAAATAACAGTTCATAGACATATTTATTTGACAACTTTTACTTTAATCTCAATGGGGCTTATCCCATGCTAGATGTGTCTTACATTACAGTGCAAATTCATTACAATGTCTCAGTCTGGAAGCTTTAGGCCAAGAAGCAGGGAAGTCAAAAAGGAGCAATCTTCTAATTATACCTCATTACTGGGCAGTTTTTAGCTGGAGCATTTTTAATATCAATAACAATGAAGAATCCATTTTAGTTTTTTTGTGTATGATAAACCTGATGTCTTACAATAATAACTGAGTTTTCTGCAGTCCTTCAGTTCATGTGCATTTGGGAGTAAAGACAAGACTATCAAAGCATTCATAGGACTTTTTTTTTATTTTAACAACCTGGTAATCCCTTGCATGGGGTGGAGTCGAGGTGACTGAACCAAGCTCAGGCGTTTAGCATTCATAAGACAATAAACCAGGTGGATTCACAATTAAAGATTGTTGGGCAACTTCCCCAATTGCTTCAAATCATTTCAGCCAAAAAGATTTACTAATAGCACCACTTAGCTTACATCCATGTTTTTGGGCTCCTGATTTGAGCTATCTTTGGATGCATCTTCTTGCAAAAGTCTACACAGGCAGGTATAAGCCACACTTTGTAATGCTTTGATGATCCAAGAATTGATATGAAGTTACTTCATGCTTCTTTGCTTGGATGAAATAATTCATTTCCAATGAATTATGAAAACATAATGTCATTATGTTTCTGTGCTGCTTTGCTTCAAATTACCCTTTAAATATAAAAGAGGAATTTGATATGATGCTTTTAACAAATACATTGACAGAATGTATTGGATCCAGAATTGGATCAAATTTTAATAGGACCGGAGGAGAAACTGATTAAAAATTCTATAATTATTTATTGATTATTAGAATGGAAGAGGAGGAGGTAAAGGAAACCGTGATAGCTTGGGCTAACAATTTTGGGTATTCGATAGAATTGGACAAATGGCAAAAGTTGTGGAACAGAAACTATAAATTAACAACATCCACCGCATATAAAGTAAACACATACAAAATGTCTTATAGATGGCACTTTCCCCCAGCAAAATTAGCTAGAATGTTCAAGAATATGTTGGCCAAGCGTTGGAAGTGCAACCAAACCCCGGGCTCGTATTACCACATGTGGTGGACATGTCCGAAAGCAAAAAATATTGGACTAAAATACAGACCTAGCTAGAAAAAATGATAAAGGAACATATAGATTTAAAACCAGAAATTTTTCTGTTGGGCATCATACCAAACAAATATAGTAAAAAGAATGCATATTTAGTAATAATTGTATCAGCAGCAGCCAGAATAGTGTTCGCACAACATTGGAAGGGCAAGGAGATCCCCACAGAAGAAAATAACAAGATAACAAAAATGTTAGAATGCGCAGAAATGAATAAACTAATATTTGAAATTAAAAGGAAAACTGAATATTTTGAGGTATGGGATCTGTTTTATTGATGGTTAAACGAGCGAAGCAGGAGTTAGAACTTCAAAAACTATAAGAGAAAGTTTAATTTTAATTTTAAGGTTGACCGCTGTAACTTATTAATTTTAATTAATTTTGATTAGTACTAACAATATTTATCAACATTATGAGGGAAAACCAGTGTTATTATATGTTTATTATTAGAGAATACTATTATTATTACCATGATGAATATTATTCAAAAGAATTGTAACCAGGCAACACACTGTCTATATGCATTTTGAACTTGTTCTTTCTATTTATATTTAAAAAATACATTGACTGGGAAGAGAAAATATTCAGAGTGAAATATGTTGCCTTTTAGGTATTCTTATTAATTGGGAAAGACTGTCCTTTTCTTTTAAGAGATTTGCTTGCATCTCAGGAATTCGTTTCTATCTTTGGGCAACCAGTGGTGAGTATTAGATTTTTAATTTCTAATTAAAAATGTTTAACTATTAAATATATTTACATTTATTTAAATACACTTTATTTTTCCTTAATGGCAGACTTTGAACAATATTAATATAACAGGGCTGTTAGTAAATATTGAATAAAAATGGGGTAGGTGATATTTAAATAAAGATTGGAAGGTGGCATCCAGTGAGTCAGGTTTTATAGAGAGGTTTTACAGGATAGGAAATTTGTGTGGTTCACTTGTTCTGCACTATTTACTTTTTGTTCAAATTAGATGGATGTTCTGAAGGTGTTCATTGGGTCTCCAGATAGTCTAAATCTTCGTAATATTTTGTGGCACGGATTTGTGTCAGCTAAAGAGATTCCTGTCAAGTAAGTAAAATTAATTGTGATTCTTTTGTTCTAGTTGCTACAGAGTTAGAAACATAATTGAACAATAATTGAAGGAAGATTTATTAATTTAGAAAGGAATAGACTATTCATATCTAAATGAGATGCCAGTAATTAATTGTGAAGGATTGTAATTTATATTTTTATGAATACTTCTATTTCAAGACATTTGAATATTTATTTTAACTTTATTCTTTGGGAAAGATTGATGTGGTTACATTTTCTACTGCATTGTATATCTTATTTTCCATAGATATTTCTCCATGCTACTTTTTTTAACAGCTGGATTGGGGCAACTGCTTAATAATTACTGCCTTCAGGCTCACTCTGCTTTAATTCATCGACCCTATGTATCTTTCATTCACTTGAAAGAGCTACATATATTTCCAGGTATTTGTTTTCATGGTTCACTGTTGAAGATGGTTCATAGCTATCATCTTAAAATATCTCTCTCTCTCTCTCTCTCTCTCTCTCTCTCTCTCTCTCTCTCTCTCTGTGTGTGTGTGTGTGTGTGTGTGTGTGTGTGTGTATATAAAGTTTTCGCGAGTACTTACATGTATGGCATTCAGCTTTGTTTGGGTATTTTCCCACGTCATTGTAGTTGTGCTTTTAAAGTTGTAGCAACGTTTCGGCAGAATCTCATCTGCCATCATCAGGCTTCTGTATAGTGTTCATCTGTGAGTCAGACTTTTACAGTGGTTTCAGATTTAAATTTGGGGCAGCCTATTGCTGTGCCAGGATGGTTTTTTCTTCATCCTGATTAGTTGGGAGTCTTGGTCTGTGTTTATTGGTCTTGGAGTTTGCTGTGTTCTGCTTGATTGGTGTTTCTAATATCTTCTGTCTGTTTTTTGGCTCTTTTTGTAGCTTGATTGGCTGCCGGCTTCTGTATAGTGTTCGTCTGTGAGTCAGACTTTCACAGCCATTTCTGTTTTAAATTTAATTTAATTAATGATGGCAGATGAGATTCTGCCGAAACGTTGCTACAACTTTAAAAGCACAACTATAACGACGTGGGAAAATACCCGAACAAAGCTGAATACCATACATATAAATACCCACAAAAACTTAAGAAAACAAATATGTATGTATGTATGTATGTATGTATATTTATTTTGAAGTTATTTCGGTTTCACTTTTAGCTAGCTCTTCCCCATTGACTTTGCTTGTCGGAAGGTTGCAAAAAGAGATCACAAGACTCCAGAGCACTACAATCTTTATGCAAATGTATCTTCCTGGAGTTAAAGCTGTGTTCTAGGTACAAAGAACATTAAAAAGTGAATTAATTTATTTGGTTCTGGTGAGTATGTACATATGGACATCACCTATGGCCAATTCTATATGTTCTACAGATGAGGGATGGGTTTGTCTGAGTTGTAGATACAACAGGAAGATAGCCAGCCATCTTACCAAATCTGCTTCCAAATGGGGATTGAAGAGTTGTCAAATGTTTTCTCATATAGATCAAGCCAGTTGGAAATTACTGGAGAACACTAAATTGAGAAGGAAAACTACAACACCTGTGGAGTCTGTGCATTTGAAAATAAATGACTGATATACAGGTAGTCCTCAACTAGCAACAGTTTATTTAGTGAACAGCTTGTTTGAAGTTACAACAATGCTGAAAAAAGTTACTTGTGACCATTGCAGCATCCCTATAGTGATGTGATTTACATTTGGATGCTTTACAAGTGATTCAAGACTGGAGTCTTGTGATCTCCTTTTGCAACCTTCTGACAAGCAAAGTCAATGGGGAAGACAGATTCACTTAGCAACCAGGTTACTAATTTAACAAATGCAATGATTCACTTAGCAAATGTGACAAGAAAAGTTGTAAAATGGAGCAAAACTCACTTAACAAATTTCTCAATTAGCAACATAAATTTTGGGCTCAATCATGGTCGTAAGTCAAGGATTACCTGTATTCACGGAACACTTTTTAGAGGTGTGTTTAAATGTAATAGATTTTAGAAGCATGTAAAGCAGTTTGAGTTGAACCATTTACATTCAAAGTAATCCCTATCAAATGTGTGGCAATTGTTTCAAATGCAAAGCTGGCTGCATTAGTCAGTTTGGAAGATTTTCAAGTTGGACTGAGCTGTTTTGAATGCAGACATTTAAGAAATAGCCTACAGAGGGATTTTCAATTTCAAGACTGATGTTTTGAACTCCGAATTATTTGAATTATTAAAAATATACAATGTAACATAAAATGCATAAAAGAAGCAGAAGAAAACAAGTGATACTTCAGAGAAAAGAATGACATTATTATGGATTCTCAAACTTTTTTTAAGCCACATGTTTGTCTGAAAGAGCTAGAAAAACAAAAACTCCAATTTTAGGTCAGGCTTTTCCAAACAATGGGTGTGAGGGGCTTAAATGTGTTTGTTTGTCTGTTTACTTCTCTTGCTTAAATCTGTTATATAAAAAATCATTAAAATACCACTTCATTGTTGCTGTTCATGATCAGTACGGTAGCGGTAGTTAAGTTGTCCAGTTGATACGTGTGATCTTTATTGGTAACTGGTATCTAAATTTTCTTTTTATCCTTCTTGCTCTCGGCCCATTTTGCTTTTGAGTCATATGTTTTAAATTGTAAATCTGAAAACAGATACTGTCTTAGAATTCATTAGATTAAATTAAAATTCTTTATTGGTCAAGTGTTGGACACACAAGGAATTTATCTTGGTGCAAATGCTCTCGATGTACATAAAAGAAAAGATACGTTTGTCAAGACTCAAGAATCATAAGGTACAACACTTAATAATAGTCATAGGGTACAATAAGCAATCAAATCATACTAGAAAACAGTCAATATAAATCGTAAGGATACAAGTGACAAAGTTACAGTCCTACAATCACAAGTGGGAGGGGAGGGGTGATAAGGAGTGATGAGAAGATTAACAGTAATAGTGCTGACTTTGTAATAGTTGAACAGTGTTGAGGGAATTATTTGTATAGCAGAATGATGGCTTTCAGGAAAAAACTGACCTTGTGTCTAGTTGTTCTGGTGTTCAGTGCTCTATAGCATCATTTTGAGGGTAGGAGTTGAAATAGTTTATGTCCAGGATGTGAGGGGTCTCTAAGACTAAATATTTTCACAGCTCTCTTTGACTCGTGCAGTATACAGGTCCACTATTGAAGGCAGGTTGGTAGTAATCGTTTTTTCTGCAGTCCTAATTACTCTCTGAAGTTTGTGACTATCCTGTTGGGTTGCAGAACCAAACCAGACAGTTATAGAGGTGCAGGTGATAGACTCAATAATTCCTCTGTAGAACTGGATCAGCAGCTTCTTGGGCAGTTTGAGCTTTCTGAGTTGGCGCAGAAAGAACATTCTTTGTTGTACTTTTTTGATGACGTTTTTGATGTTAGGTGTCCATTTTAGGTCTCGTGATATGATAAAATCTAGAAATTTGAAGGTCCCTACTATTGATACTGTGTTTAGTATTGTAAGAGGTGGTAATATGGGAGATAGTATGGTCTTATTTCTATTCAGCCTCTGGGAACATCTTTGTGAGAAGGAGGGTAAAATAAGATAAAATGATTCAAATACAGAATGCTTTGCTTTGGTTTTTTTAATGTGTTTCTGCTGTAGGAAAATCTTCTTTGAAAATGTAAAAAATCAGTAAAGATGCACTAGATTTGGCATTTGAAGATTATCTTAATACCATAGATTTTAATTATAATTTTTCTCCACAATAATTTTTTTTTATAATGCAACAAAAGTTCAGTGTCAATGCAAGTTCCTCTCTTCTGTTTTACAGATCTGAATCAAGAACTCTTGTCATTGGCTGAGGAATTAGTAACAAAATCTAATATTGTGCTAAAGACTATGATCCCTTTTTGGATTGCTGCAATAACTTCATTCCAGCAGGCAAGGTAACAATGTTAATGTGTAGTTTAATGTAATTGGAATGCAGGGCATAATTTATTAGAGGTCATTTACCTATTGCCCATAAGTTGTCATTCCTTGCAATCTTTGGCATAAAATTCCATAGGACCTAGGACAAAAAGTCCTGACTAATTCATCCCAGCCGACTTGATGCAGGACAACTTTCCGCGGTCAATTCAACACGGGATAACTATCTATTTAACACAACAGGAGGAAGCTTTTATTCCCCATCCATGCACCTTTTGCTGAATATCAGCAGAGGAGATGATACATTCATCCCCCTAAGTATTGAAAAACTATGAGGTGTATTTGAGTCAACAAGTAACAAAGGCAACTGTAATCAAGCAAGAGGATCAGTGTGATGACAAGAGAACACTTCCCTGAACATGTGCTACATCAAAACAATAGAAATGTTCAGTTTTCTAATCTTTCTTATGAAAGTGGGAGGAATTTCTCTGTCCATCTACAAAGGAGGTTCTGATCACAATAAAGTAATGCATCACCAGGAACTAGTCCAATATGTGTTGCAGTGTATATTTTATATGTATGCATATATGTATTATTCCTTGGAATGAAAGCCAGCAGTCTTCAAGATGCCTATCAAATTAAGGAAAGGAAAAGTGATTGGAAATTAAGAGACTAGTGATTATCAAGTCATGACAGGGCCTCCTTGAATTAGTATCTGGTTGGGATAGGCAAGGTGATTTCTCAACTTGAACCTCATGTGTGGAACCCAATTAAGTTGGCAGACGAGTTTCATTCCAGGACTGGTTATTGGACATACATTATAATTATACATAAAATGAATTTATTAGGAAAACTGGATAGAGTGTTTCTAACCTACTATTATAGCCCTTTCTTCTAAACCACCTTCAGATCAGAAATGGTTCTGCTGTAATCCATCCAATTTGATACTTGCCACTACTATCTGCATTTGATCAACAGCAGCTTGGAAATATTTAATTTTCAATATTAATAAATCAATATTTGTTGAATGTTTTTCCTCCCCAATATTCCATTAGGCCATATTTTCCTTTTTTCTCTCTCTCCTTGTTTTCAGTGTTCATTGGCAATCCATCCTCAATAAGTTTAGCCCATTTATCTTTGTATTGTGCATATCCCAGTCACAAAGAAAGGGTTTGTATCAATATAATAAAAATGTTCTATGGAACATCAAAACAAAAGGCATAATCATGGCTAGCACTGTTAATTAGGCAAAAAAGAAGTGGCATTCTTTTCTATAGAATACCTGCCCTGTCTATTCATTGGTGTTATTTTAAAAAAGGAAACCAAATTAAGGGAGCTGTATAATGGCTCCCAGGCCAAATAAAATTAATTTTCAGATAATTTGACTGTTTGTTTACATTTTGATCTATATAAAAACCACCTTCTGCTTTTTTTTTGCAGCCTGAATGGTCTGTGATTAGTGTATGTTGGAGATTTGTAGTTATTTTGAGAAGAGATGCCTGCTGGAGCTTTTATTCAGAGTTGCACATCCATTATATCATTGTCTCGGGGTGAGTCGGCTGCAGAGAGTCGACTGGGGCTTGTTCCACAGCAAGTTGTCTTGAGGCTGTGGTATGTTGTCCTGCATCGAACTGGCCACATTGTGTTAACCAGGTGGAGACCCATTATACCCTTGTCCTGGGATGAGTTAACTGTGGCAAGTTGGCTGGGGCTTATCTCACATCAAGTTGGCCATGGCAAGTCGGCTGGGACAAGACCCATTATAACATTTTCCCGGGACAAGTCAGCCATGGCAAGTGGGCCAGGGCTTATCCCACAGTGAGGTGCCCCTCGGCGAATCAGCCATGGCAATTTAGTCATGGCCAGTCAGCTACAGCAAGTTGTCCCATTCTGCATTCCATAAGCTACTGTTGTTTGGTAGAATCTAAGGACTACCCCATTCACTGACCAATTAACAGTATGTTCCAAGCACAGTAAGATTCTCTATTATCACAGGTTATGGCATCTGAATAGTTTTTAAAAAGTTCTGTATAAAGTAAGAACAACATGTGCTGCTCAATATTTATTTCAGGTATGCAGATTGTGTCATTTTGCTACTTCCTCAGCTGGAAGGTGGGCTTAGAGTACTCTTTACAGCAGTTAATAAATGTCCAAGCAGACTAATGACAGCTGAGGTAAATATTTTTATTGTTATCCATATGTTTTTTTTAAAAAAAACATCAAAATTTGTTGAAAATTATGCACACTATATTTCAGATTAGTCTTTATATATGAATGCTTTTATGTTGATACCATTGTTTAAATTGCTTAAGTTATTTATAGGTCTTTGCTCCATAATCCCCTTTGACAAAGGAATTTATGTAACACATTATGTTTTTACCCAGTAAAAATATGCCTACTGGCATTTGAGACATTTTCTCTCATCAATCTGTACATGAAAGTAATTTGAATCTGTTCAATTATTGTTCCCCTTAACTGCTCAGTGAAGTGTAAAATGTGGCTCATTGCTAAGGCACATTTTAATGTTAGAATTACATGTTTCCCTCCTTTTTCCACATCCTATTCTACTGTAGTACGTCACAATGTGCAAAAGAAATAACTTTGAGTTACTCTTCATTTACAAACAAATACCTTACACCATAATTTACAGTACATTATTATACCTGTCTGCCTCCTTGCAGGGCATTAGTATCCTGTTTTAACTTACAATTTTTGCTGAAAACTGAACCTTGGGGCCAGTCATCCTCTCTCAGTCATATGAAGCAGGCAATGGCAAGCCACTTCAGAAATCTTACCAAGAAAACTACAAGGACCTGTCCAGGCAGTTGCCAAAAATAAATACCATCTCAAAGGCATGCATATATAAATAAATAAAATATAAACTAAATACTTTATGCACCTTGCTGCATTCCTAAAATTGTTTATTATCAACTTTTCTGCTTTCTTCCTGCAAGTTATGATTTGTGTAAAATGCAGGATGGACAAATAAAAGAGGGACCATAAACTATTTCACATTCATATTATTCCTTAGGGCAGAATGCTGAAAATATTTCAAGTTTTAGTCAATTAGAATACAATCCATTCAAAATGAATGTGGTTGTTTGTTCCAAGTTCATAATAAAATAGGTTTTTATTTAATACAACCGGTATGTATTCGTTATACTCAGGGTACAATATAGGTGGAGAATCATCAATGCAGATAAGCGCAGTCCAGAAAAATGAACAATTTTGGACCCACCACTCCAATAAATTAAAAACTCAACCAGTATAAAGCCCAAAAGTCATAATAAAAACAAAGAGGCATTTTAAAAATATCCCCACTCTTTTTTTAATTGCTGTCTCCGTTAAGAGCATGAAAGAAACCCATATGGGGTGGTATGATTCTCTTCCAATTCTGTACACATCTTACAACAGGGGTGTCAAACTCATGGTCTGCAGGCCAGATGTGTCATGCACTGGCCACGCCCACCCCGGTTTAGCGAAGGGGAAAAGGTTGTGATACGTCACATGATGACAATGTGTCATTTCAAGTTGAGACACCCCTGTCTTAGAACCTCAAGATGTACAAGATTCCAGCCTCTGTCAATGTACGTACAAACAGAATATTCCCAAATCTATCCATATATTGCTCTACAGTAGTGTTTTCCAGCTTTGAAAAATTTCAGGGCATAGACTTCACAATCACCATGCTGACTCAGGAATTTTAGGTAAGGAAGTCTGCATATCAGGAAGTTGCCAAGTTTCAAAAATCTTATTCTAGGGGCTGAAAAGATTCCATAAGAACTGGGAGATGGAATCTCAATCTTCATTTTTCTCCAATGTTTGTCTCTGGCTTTGGTGAAGAAATTTTCAAACAGTTTTACAGTCGTAAGGAACCCACAGCATTGCAGCTTTAGCATATTTGAGATGGAGAAGTGACCAGGTGAATATAGATTTTAGTCCTCTGTATTGTCTTAGAGAGAAAGGAGAAGTTAGCAACTACTTTCAATATTATGCAGGTTGTATTGTTCCCAGAAAAAAACTTATTTGTTACTGATACAGTATTTATGCAGCTTGGCTATTATTGTTGTTGTTGTTGTTATTGTTATTATATTTTTATCCTGCCTTTATTACTTTTACAAGTAACACAAGGCAGTGAACAAAACTGTTTTTATTACTTAATGTCAGAAAGCTGTATAGAAATGCACGACCACATTCTAGCCTCTACAAATATTATTTCCAATTATATATAAAGTAGGTTTTATTCTGGAAATGAAATGTTAGAAATAGTAATATTTTTCTTTCATTATATTCTAGTCATCTTCTCTGTATACAACTTTTGATGAAGTAAGTTCTTTATAAGATTCTTTGACTTATTTGATAAAGTGCTAGTCAATTCTTTTAAACTTGGCATGCTAAAATTAGCTAAAATTACAATATGGGATGTTCAGTGAAGGCTTTTTAAAAAATATATTATTAAGCTTTATATTACTATAACAGTCCGTGTTTCTTATTAGAAGAAAAGTAGAAACCATTCCATAAATGGGGAGAAAAAAAACTACAATTATAACAATGTGTCCTTCTTTGATAGGTCCAAATTAGTTCCAGATCAGTAATATTCAGTAGAGTTAGAATAATCCGGTTTAATATCCAAGATTGGGTACTGAATATTTATAGTGTAGAAGGCAGTATGTTACTCCTTGCTCATCTTAACTTGGGAGGGAATACAGTGCTTGCCAGAGAAATATATTTTTGTGGTCCCATATAAAGGCTATACTAGACTACTTTTTTCTTTAGAGTCTATTAATTTGACCAATTTCAATATATTTTATATATTTATTAAATTTATGTGCTGCCCATCCCACATCTCCAAATCTGTTCAATCTCTTATTCAGAAACTTATTATCTTATTTAACCAACGTGCTGTGACCTACATTCCACCAAGAAAAAGATGCATGCCATGTATTGTTCCATATGTTGGAATATGCATCTTGGAATATTATAAACCATATTGTTCTGAGCAGAAGCAAATAATAAAGTGAAATATCAACATGTACATTGTTCCCTGACCATTTTGTAAGGATGAAACCAGGATGTACTATTTTGCATTGTCAAGTTCTAGAAGAATCTAATATTTGCAAAAAAGATATAGCAAAAATATGAGCAAATGTTGCAAAGGCCAGAACGTAGTCAATAATTCTGCCTGATTTTCCTTAAATAAGTTTGCAGAGTTATTAAATCAAAACCTGTTTCATTCATTTTTAAATGTATTTCACATCCCTTATTTTTCCTGTGTAGATACTAGCAAAACAGTTGAATAACGAAGAAATGAATCAGCTCCCCATAGTCCTTGGTGAATCAGCAATGGTAATGTAATTAACTTTTGGGGTTTTTGTGTTTCAGCTGGGAATGCTGAATGCTTCTAGGTTCGCAAATTCATGCTCTGTACATGTTTCTGACAATAAGCCTAGTTGACTTTATAGATCTAAAAAGTCATTAATATAATTTCAGTGTATAATGCAGTGTTATCTTTAGTCAGTCTTACTTGGAAGACAGGAAACTACATAGATTTCTGTATTCATATGCAGCATACAGGCTTTTTAGATTGGGGGAGGAATTACATATTACCTTATTAGGCCACCATTTAAAAAAAACAACAGTCCAGTTATGGACATGTAAGAATGTTACACATATACAGAATTTGGCATTCAGTTTTCATTATCAAAGAAGGAAAATGATTTAAGTGGTTTCTTTCCAGCTATTGCAAAAAATGACAAGTAAGGGTTGCTATTTTGGGTTGGGTTTTGACTTCCCCCAAAGTTTTCTTTGGTGCATGATTATAAACAACCAGAATATTTGCAGTAGATCAAGTGATAAGAAGAAAAAAAAAATCATCTTATTGGCACATTTGGCAGGAATTTCTTTGGGATTTTTTGAACCATCAAGAAGGCCCACGTGTCAGAGACCATCTGAGCCATGGAGAAATTAACTTAAATCACTTCCCAAGAGAAATAGCAAATTCCATGCTTTCATTTTCTATTACACTCCTCTGCAGATTTTCACAGGATGACTTGACTTCCATTAAGGTAAGGAACATGCCAACTTACTTTAAATTTTAGAAATAGAGGTAGTCCTTGACTTACATCCATTCAATTAGTGACTGTTTGAAGTTACAATGGCACTGAAAACAGTGACATATGACAATTTTTCACACTTATGACAATTGCAGCATCCTCATGGTCACGTGATGTACATTGGGATTCACTTTAACATTTGGCAAGAAAAGTTGTAAAATGGGACAAAACTCAATGCATTTCTTACTGAACAGCATAAATCTTGTGCTCAATTGTAGCCATAAGTTGAGGACTACCTGTACATTAAAATCATGCTGTTGTAACTTTCTAATCCAAGTGTTTTTGTATTTAGAGTACATTGCCTCCCTGTTCCATATAGCATAGCATTTGTAAATCTCTCTTTATGGAGTCAGAGCAACTGTGGCCTACCTGTTAGTCCTAATTTTTGGATGGGCACTTGTTTACCATATTCCCTGAAAAATTACCGTATTTATCGGCGTATAACACGCACAGGCGTATAACACGCATTCCCTTTAAGAGGGAAATTTCAGGAAAAAAATATGGGGCGGGCGCAGCGCTGACATCACGTCACGACGCTGCGCCGCCGCTAGGCACTATTGGGAACGGGATCCCTTAAAGAGGATTCCGCTCCCTGGACATCGGCGTATAACACGCATACATCATTTGCCCCCTATTTTCAGGGGGAAAAAGTGCGTGTTATACGCCGATAAATACGGTATTTCTGAAGGGGAAATTTCTATCCTGAATATCATTTAATGTAACATAGAGGAATAAAGCCAGAAGGAAATTCAGTTATTTGTCTTTTTATATGGATTTTTAAAGAGGGGGGCAATGCGACTACATTTATTCCCCTTCCTAGTTTCTATTATCCTTATTAGCTTATTTATTTAGACTTCAGAGATTTCCTCACATCAGGTATGCATATGTAGGTAATACTTAATATTCATCACACTATTCCCTTTCAAGGTTATCAGTGTTATGCAAAGTGAGAAAAGGAGTATGAAATAATAAGCCAAGAAACTAAGGAATAATTCTTATACTAGGCATAAGAAAAAGAAAAGGAAAGATTTTATATGCATATACCACTCTGCTGTTGCATTTGAGGAGGAGCAATGACATGTAAAGTTCAGAAAAAGAGTAGAAAGTAGCAATCAAAAGAAATTGAAGGCAAAAAAAAGAAAAGTAAACATAACTAGTTTAACTATTAACTATTCACTGTATAAATACCTTTCTATCCTTGCAAATCACAATAGGATGCCTTTTATTCTTTAAAATTCTCATCTCTATCTTTTTGAGGATTGTTTCAACAAACAATTGCACAAATGGGGGGAGGGAGTATCTTGGTACTTTTATTTTGTAATAAACCAGTAAAATCGTTTCAGTGCATTGCCTTAATTTCAGCAGGAATTTATTTGCGAAAATGATTGAAATAAGATTGAAATCTCTTTGTTTTTTTGTCACTTACTTTAACATGTCTTTAAACCAGGAACACAAATCCTTAAAACTGTTAATGACTTGTGCAAATAATTACTGTACCAAGTTTCATCCAATAACTCAGCTTAAGAAACAGGTATGTAGTAGTCTTTTTTCCCATTGTTGCTATTGTGTATTGAATTTACAGGTGAAATTCAAAAAATTAGAATATCGTGCAAAAGTTTATTTATTTCAGTAATGCAACTTAAAAGGTGAAACTAATATATGAGATAGACTCATTACATGCAAAGCAAGATAGTTCATGCTGTGATTTGTCATAATTGAGATGATTATGGCTTACAGCTCATGAAAACTCCAAATCCACAATCTCAGAAAATTAGAATATTGTGAAAAGGTTCAATATTCTAGGCTCAAAGTGTCCCACTCTAATCAGCTAATTAAGCCATAACACCTGCAAAGGGTTCCTGAGCCTTTAAAGGGTCTCTCAGTCTAGTTCAGTAGGAAGCACAATCATGGGAAAGACTGCTGACCTGACAGTTGTGCAGGAAACCATCATTGACACCCTCCATGAGAAGTTGGATGTTCCCAAAGTGCTGTATCAAAGCACATTAATAGAAAGTTATGTGGAAGGGAAAAGTGTGGAAGAAAAAGGTGCACAAGCAGTAGGGATGACCGCAGCCTGGAGAGGATTGTCAGGAAAAGGCCATTCAAAAGTGTTGGAGACTTTCACAAGGAGTGGACTGAGGCTGAAGTCAGTGCATCAAGAGCCACCACACGCAGACAGATCCTGGACATGTGCTTCAAATGTCATATTCCTCTTACCAAGCTGCTCCTGAACAACAAACATCAGAAGCGTCTTACCTGGGCTAAAGAAGAACAGAACCGGTCTGTTGCTCAGTGGTTCAAAGGCCCCCTTTTCTGGTGAGAGCAACTTTTGCATCTCATTTGGAAACCAAGGACCCAGAGTCTGGAGGAAGAATGGAGAGGTACACACTACAAGATGCTTGAAATCCAGTGTGAAGTTTCCACAGTCTGTGTTGATTTGGGGAGCCATGTCATCTGCTGGGGTTGGTCCACTGTGCTTCATTAAGTCCAGGGTCAATGCAGCCGTCTACCAGGAGATTTTGGAGCACTTCATGCTTCCTTCCACAGATGAGCTTTATGGGGAAGCTGACTTCATTTTCCAGCAGGCCTTGGCACCTGCCCACACTGCCAAAAGCACCAAAACCTGGTTCAATGACCATGGATTTCTGTGCTTGATTGGCCAGCAAACTCGCCTGACCTGAACCTCATAGAGAATCTATGGGGCATTGCCAAGAGAAAGATGAGAGACATGAGACCGAACAATGCAGAAGAGCTGAAGGCCACTATTGAAGCATCCTGGTCTTCCATAACACCTCAGCAGTGCCACAGGATGATAGCTTCCATGCCATGCCGCATTGAGGCAGTAATTGCTGCAAAAGGGGCCCAAACCAAGTACTGAGTACATATGCATGCTTATACTTTTCAGAGGTCCGATATTGTTCTATGTACAATCCTTGTTTTATTGATTGTATGTAATATTCTAATTTTCTGAGATTGTGGATTTGAGGTTTTCATGAGCTATAAGCCATAATCATCTCAATTATGACAAATCACAGCTTGAACTATTTTGCTTTGCATGTAATGAGTCTATCTCACATATTAGTTTCACCTTTTAAGTTGCATTACTGAAATAAATGAACTTTTTGCACGATATTTTAATTTTTTGAGTTTTACCTGTATACCAGCAGCTTTACATTGAATAAAATAATAAAATGTTATAAATTGAATTCAGTGTAATATTCAATTAAAATAAATTGAATATTATTAAATTGAATAGACATATTAATTAATATTGCTTTAAATCATGTTGATGAAAGTGTGAGATTTGCACATATAAAACAACCCAGCCTGAATGGTCCTTAGTGTTCTCTGACCTTGGTTGTTTTCTTGCAGACGTTTCATTATCCAAACTAGGTTAACATCATCAGTACCAGTCCAGCATGTTAAGTGAATATTTGACAGAAAGCAACTGAGGTTTTATTGAAATTATAGACAGCCACAGAAATTTAATCAGGTGTAGATCTATATTGCTTGTGAGTTCCATTTCAGAAGATGTGTTGATCTGTAGTCAGGCAACTTTCTTAGTAAGAGAAGGCAGAATTAGAACAAGCAATTGCAATAGCTTTTAACTTATTCTAAAGATGGCTTTGATTACATCTTTGCTGATTTCGAGGCCCTGCAATGCAACATGTTTGAGACACTGGGAATTTCTTGAATCATTAGTTTAATGAAAGTAGGATAGTTAGGTTGTTCTGTAATTTTTGTTTTTCTTTCTAGATACTGAACTGCATAAAAAGTATCACCTCTTGGCCAGATTTTCCTATGGGGCTTAAAGAGCAAGAAATTTCAGGGTAATACCTTTTTCCTCCTTCCTTTCTTGGAGTTATAACCATGGGATTGAAATAAATAGTTGATGAATTTACTTTTTTGATAATTGCATTGATGATCATCACCAGTCACAGTGGACTCAACAGCCTCAAAACAAGTCTTTATGGCTTGTAAAAACACTTCCACCTATTGTAAGATGGTGCCAGCCTCTCCCAACTCCCCATGACATGTAGGGTTCTTAGCAACCTGTTCATATTTATGACTGCTTGCCAAGTGCCCTACAGTAATGTGATCACCATTTGCAATCTCCGGAGCCTTCTTCCCCAGAAAATCAATGGGAAAGCCAGCAGGGAAGGTTGCAGATAGACCATTAGATTTGAGCTCCATTCCCCTAGCATACCGTATCAGCATTTCTGCCCTTCCAGACAGGACAATCAAGTGAACACCAGTGTTCTGAGCCTCTCAGAACAATGGCATTTGCTAGCATTATTATCAGATTTAAGATTTGTTCTTCCAGCATGTTGAAGGATTTCTTCTCTGGAAGGGAAATATCTTGACCTGCTGGAAGAATGAACTTCAAATCAGATAAAAATGCTAACAAATGCAATCATTCTCATGATTGTTCTCCTGGTGGGCGAAGAATACAAGTTTGCTTTCAGGTAGATATGAAACACTATTTGGCAATAAATGTTATTCTCAATGCTACAAGTGTCTGTCACTAGATAACTCCAATTTGGACTACAGTCATTCTCTAGAGACTGAGTTGAAGGCTATTTTAAAATCAATAAATACCACCCTGGGAGAAATACGTGTGTCTCAGTTAGATGCCAAGCACAATGAAGATACAGAGAAAGAGAGGACTAAATGAATTCTTTTATTTTATAAGGGATACATACTAACGGTCAGACAAATTATCTGGAAATAACTTTTTTTTAAGGGAACAATTCTCCTTGTTGTAGGGCAGGAGTGAACAGTCTGAGGTGTGTATAAGACGCTGAAACTCTTGGCTGCATTCCACAGAGAACATGAAATAAAACATTATCAAACTGCCCAAAGATAGATAAATAAGATTAAATGCAAATTTGGAGAGGAATTATATTAATGACTTTTTTTTTCAATGTAAATCAAAACTTAAATCTAATTTAGTTTTTATTCAGATTCATTCACTATTTCATGGACCCAGCCAATTCAAAGGCTCAGTGCAGCCTTCACAGTGCAATATTTCTGCTCAGTTTTCCATATATCAAATGGGGATTGTTGGAATGTAAAGTGTTTATTGTAGTAAAATGAATACTTATTTATGTCTTAAAGAAAACTAAATCTTGGGTGAGTTTCTATTGTAACAATTTATTTTTATTTTTAGGTCAGGAAAAGATACTGCCCCCTGTATTCTTATGATCAATGATATTTTGTCTCAACTGCAGCCCTATTTGACTATGAATGTTACACTATTAGGTGATCCTGTAAACAATCTGCTAACTGAAAAGTAAGTTTTATAAGATATTCCAGGCCTTTTTTCAAATATGAGAACACATTTTATTCTATTAATGCTTTATCATCCTTTGGAGCAAGGGTTTTCAAACTTGACAGCTTTAAGACTTGTGGACTTCAACTCCCAGAATTCCTCCTCCAGTCATGTTAGCTCAGGAATTCTGGGAATTGAAATCCATAAGTCTTAAACTTGCCAAGTTCGAAGACCCTTGCTTTGGAGTTTTGTTTATGTTAAAAATCATAATACAACATTCAGATATTTACTGGATCATATCCAAGGAAAATTTTAGTTTTGCATAATACATCATTCCAGCCATTTTTGTTTTAAATCATGATGCAGACCTTTGCATTACATTGTGGAAATTGAGCCGGTTCTGGCTTATTCAATAAACCATGGATAAATTAATATGATATATGAATGCAACCATTATGTTGTTTAGCATGCATATATTATAAAGTGCCTGGAGGTGTCTGGAGATTCTCAGTCATCCAGGTCATGGTTATCTCAAAAGTGCTTTTTCAAGAGGCAACTGAACTTTCTGTTTTTTTCCTTTGAAGACATTTCACTTCTCATCCAAGAAGCTTCTTCAGCTCTGTGCCTGAAGTTGGCTTGTCTCTATTACCTGTAATTGAATTACCTGCAGTTTGGATTTGAATGACATTAGAAGCTGCATTTAACAAAAATGGAAATATACTTCCAAATTCCTTATAGTTACACTAGAGATGTACTGAAAAATATTTATTTAATATGGAAGTACCCATAACTTGGTGTACATTTGTAGAAAACAGCTGATATTTGCTATAAGTAATAACTAATTTTAGTGCAACCTTTTGTTCTGTTCAGGTTGTTGATTGAACTTTGTAGCAAGCACATTCATACCCTTTATTCTCCACGAACTATCCTGGAAACCATTGTGGTGCTTCGCCAGATAAGCACTCATTGCCATCATGTGTCGCGTCAAGTCATTTCAGTTTGTGAAACCAGATATGAACAGTGGATAAACAAGTCACTAAGATCGCGCCAACGACTTAACTTTTTGCGCATGAGAAGAAGGTGGGAAGTAGCTTACTTTAAAGAGAAGGAGAATTTTAATGGAAGGTGATTTTAAAATAAACTAAGAAAGGAATTTCTGTACTGTACAGAAGGACAAATTTATAATACTGATCTGATCTTCCTTTAGTTGTCATGAAAGGTTCTTGTTGAATTGAGTCAAATTTAGCAGTATGTTAATGTAACTAGAATATCAGGATAGAGCTAGGGAAATCTAGGTTCACTTAGCTGATGCTGACTAGTCTTCAGCTGGTAAACAAATTTTAATCTGATTTTCTTAGGAGTAATGCCTTAAATTCTTAGGAGGAAAAATGGGATATAGATTTAATAAATGGTGAAGTTTGTGGTAATTTGGAACAGAATGTGAGCTTAATAAGAGAAGCTGATTAAAATATTAAAAAATAAGGGAGTATTCCAGCTAATTGCTATTCACTTTCCTTCTCCCTCTTTTTATACTATATGTTTTCCAAATGCCCTTCTTCACTTTATTATTTTGGGTCCATGTAATATTATTTTAGTGTATGTTTTTAGATGTATATTTAATTACTTGTTTTTTTCCGTCCAGTATCAAACTTCTGTCTCCAGTTTTTCAACTAGTTTTAATCTTGATTACATTGGAGCTAGCGAACATTGATATGATTTGCAGAAAAAATACTTTTGAATATCAACAGTACTTAAAGTGAGTATATTTTTTTGCAGAATGTTCTAGTATTAGTTTTTTTTTTTAATTTATAATCATCTAACTGATAATTCCCAGTAATTTACAATTATTTGCATTATTATATCATTATATTTGAAAAGAATTCTGTCTCTAAAGATGCACATTAAGGATATCATTGCATTTGAAATATATTTCTTAATTTGTTGTTCTTGCTGCTGCTTTTTTAAAAAATATATACATTCTGCTAGGACTGAATTGGATTTAGAACCATGGTATATATAAAACATGGTATTTTCAAAGTTATAAAATGGTACAGATTTAATGCTGTCATAGTTTTTTATGTGGTATTTGAACTTGGCACTCATTATTTCAAACTGCAGTCCTACACATATTTTAATCAGCAGGGGAAGATACAGTGAGAAACTGCAAACTGACTATTTGAAAGGGCGGTGGGCAAGTTGCTAGCTGATCGCATTTTCCATTTGCAGACTTAAGAAGGCAGTGGTAATTCTTTTAGCTAAATGTAAGTGGACGTCAGCTCCCAGCATGCTTAACATTGACCATATTGAATGGGAAATTCTGGGAGTTGAAGTCTACATATATACAAAGGTTGCCCCATTTGAGAAACTTCCAATATTTGTTCCTTTTTGGGATTGGATGACAGAAAGAAGAAGGAGCGTTCAACTATGGAACTGCAGACTTAGACTAGACAGCAGGGAAGTAGGGCAGACTGATAATGCTATGTAGGAATTCATTCCTGCCAACCAGATATGTCATCTGTTATGTGTAGGCTACTGAATTAGGGTGCCTGGGACAATGTAAGAATATAGCTAATGTACTATGTACCCCCTAACCCAATATTTTGCCTACTTGAAGTAATAGCGTTGATCTAAGACACGTTGGTGGAGCATCATAGCTTTCTTGTCCCACAGGATTTCATTATTCATGTAAAGTTTTCTCAGTTAAGGGTAACTAAGGATTTCACATTCTGTATAGTGATCAAGGTCCTATTATAATTAATCGTCTGGGCTCATGTTTGCAGATTGCTTATTTTTCTGATCTGTGGTGTTCCATAGGATTCTGTCTTATGCAACCATGTACTTCAACACCTACATGTAGCTTCTATGGGAAGTTTGGGACCATTACTTTGCTAATAATACCAAGGAAAAAGTATTGTCTTGGGTAACTGTGGAGTTGCACTGGACTTCTCTTTTTCACTGTTTATAAAATCTACTTAGATGTATTTCCTTTGTAGTCTATTTAACTATTAACTAATGTACAGTAATTTAATTTGCTTTTAGCTTAAATTGTGTTTTAATGTACAGTAATTTAATTTGTTTTTAGCTTTAATTGTGTTTTAATTTTGTAAGTACTCATTTGAATAGAAAGCTAGTCCAAATACTTAAAATCAAATGATGGTTCATTTATAATGAATCGAGGTAACTTCTAACTTAATATCCAACAAAATTGTATTGGGTGTGTCTATTACTCTATCAGCAAAAGCAAAAATGAGTTAAAAGCTTGCCAGATTTATTATGGCATAAATGATTTATGATGGTAGGGCATTTTCAAATGATTTACAAATAACTTAGTTTTTGAAATAATTTTAATCAAATGTATTGACATAATTTCATTTTGTTTTTCCTCCTAGGTTCCTCAAACTGATTTTACAGTATATTGAGAACTTGGTGACTTACACAAGTCCAGAAAAAAATAAATGGGATGAAACCATAGTGCTTACACACAAATCATTGATAAAAATCAGAATCTTTCTAGGAAGGGAACTGATGCTTGTACAGTTAGCTGAAACCAAGAATACCGTTAGTCCTCATCAGAATTCTATAGGCTTAACTTAAACAGGCATTCCTCCTTTCTCCCCAATTTATTGCAGATCAACATTTGCAAAAACTATGTGCATACGTTCTCCAATACAGTGGTGTGTGGATGCGAGTATGAAAGAATTTTCTTTGCAAAAACATAAAATTTGTAGAAAAGCCACTTTTTTCTGTAGGATGTGGGTGGATGTTTGTAACAGTCAATGGATTACTGGATGGATTGATGGAAAAATGAATAGGTTTGACCACATTAGTAAAATCAATATTGTTGCTGCTGTAAATATAATTTTATTTTTACTAAAGTATATTAGATATATTACCATAAATATGTTTTAGTAATATACAAATATGTATGTATGTATGTATGTACGTATGTTTGTATGTATGTATAGTTAGCTTTGTTCGGGTATTTTCCCACGTCATTATAGTTGTGCTTTTAAAGTTGTAGCAATGTTTCGGCAGAATCTCATCTGCCATCATCAGGCTTCTGTATCGTGTTCGTTTCTGAGTCAGACTTTTACAGTTAGTCTGACTCAGAGACGAACACAATACAGAAGCCTGATGATGGCAGATGAGATTCTGCCGAAACATTGCTACAACTTTAAAAGCACAACTATAATGACGTGGGAAAATACCCGAACAAAGCTGAATACCATACATACATACATACATACATACATACATACATACATACATACATACGTACAGTATATATTTACAAATGTGATTTGTAAATTATTATTTTTAAAAAAATTCTCTGATTTGTTGTTTGAAAATGTTATTGCCTATTTCTCAGAACTCATTCTGAATTCAGATTAATATTTAATTATCGTTGTGATAATTTGACTAGTCAGAATTGTACTGGGCATATGCATAGTGCATAGTACATCTCACAATTCTTTTACACCAGTCTTTGGAATTCTTGTTCTGACTGGTGCCTCTTGCACAGTGTTCTTGTATGACTGCATGGAAATTCTGGTCTCAATTGCCCTTGTAAGTTGAAGACTGCATTAAAAACAAAAAAGTCTATGGTAATATGACAGTTAACTTCTTACCAGGAAACTAAACACAAGGTGGCAGTGTAGGACAACATATACTCCCTTTTTTTACAACCTGAAGAACAACAATCAAACAGAAAATAAAACCACAAGAGTACAAAGTTAGAAACCACATTACCTCCATTTTACCCAGGAAAAAGTAGCTTTCTAAATAAGGGAATATCAAAAGTGCAGGACTAAACATTCTCCTGTCAAATGCATTCTTCCTAGTCTTAAATATGCTGGGAATCCATCATTCAAATAATGCACTCTTTCTCTGCCAAAACAAAATCATTGTACTATATAGAAAGTTAGACTCAGCTTACATGGCCTTTTCCAAGTTGATGATCCTTTCATCTAATTATTGTCGAACTATATCTACTTTATATAAGTGTACTCATAAGGATATTATAATGTAGTTTTCTCACCTGCTTGAAAGCCACTAACATATAATTGAAACTAAAGATGAACTAATCAAATATAGTAGTAGTCATCAACAGTTCTGTGACCCTTCAAAGTTCTGATGGTACTTAACGAGAGGTACTTACGATGATCCTCAAAGTTCTGGCCATTGCAACATCTCCATAGTCACATGATTGCAATTCAGATGCTTGGCAACTGGCTCACACTTACAAAGTTGCAAGCATCTTGCATAGCAATGGCCATCTGCAACCTTCCCTGCCAGCTTCCCATAGGCAAAATCCATAGGAAAGCTGCCAGGGACAGTTGCAAGTCACCCCCATCACACTTTCTCCCGAGGAATTGTGCTTTAGGATATGATATCCCAGGACTCCCATACTTCATAGCACTCGCCCACGATCTCTAGCATGTGTGCACTTGCAGCATCCCCTTGCTTGCCCACACTCTGTAGATGCATTCTCCTGCAGCAGTCTCCTGGCCTCCGTGCTCCTGGCTTGAGGCTCTCATTTCATCCTGCTTAATGACCTGCATGGTCCTGGGGTTAATGCAGTTGCCATGATTGCCAATATTAAGCAATATGGTTACGTGACATTACACTCCATGACTGTATCACTTAACAATAGAAGTTCCGTTCCCGGTTGCTATCCTAACCCAAGGACTATCTATATGAGATTGAAAGAAAGTATCAGGTTGTTTTTATCAGACCTGATCACTACAGCTATGACCCATCAAATAGTTATTCAATTGGAACCAGTGTTATTCGAATGCTTCTATTTTAACCCTTTTCTCCTTTGCCGTGGGGAGGATTTAAAATAGGACGTCACATTTTTAAATGTATGGGTGTTCTTGACAGGATGGCAAGTAAATGAGGGAGAACATTTGATATCCTTGGAGAAGCTGAATCATACTATAGCATTGGGTAATGTTGGGTGTGCCCACAACAAATGGCATGAAGGTGCTACAGAACTGGTAAAGAAATACCGTAGATTTGATTGTGGTTTTTTTTTTTAAAAAATGAATTATTTATTTTTATTTATTTATTTTGTCAAGTGATTATAAGATAATAGGTACAAGTATAAACATAGTTATGAATACATGAAATGGATACATATAAGAAAAATAAAAAGAAACAATAGGACAGGGACAGTCAGCACGTTAGTGCGCTTATGCACGCCCCTTACATGATAAACATTGCTCTGGGGAGGCACCAAAGGAACAATTACAGATACAATAGCCGTTAAATTGATGGCATGTCTAGCATCCCTATATATATATAAAATATATATATAAAAATAGGGTATCTTTCAAGTGATGAATAATGGCTTGTGGGTTGGCGAATAAATATTGCCAGTGTGTAGATGTGCAGAATTGCTTTTCTAGACCTAGGATTTCATGAAGAGCCTTCTACATTTGAAGTTAATTTCCATTCAACCTAATAGTCATTTTTGGATAAAAGGATTCCTAGCTTAGGAGAATTCAAACACCAATCTGTATTTTTATCCGATGATTTGGCTCATTTGGCCTCCATTTTTCTAGCTTTGTTAGGTGAATGGGAGATCAATCCCAAAATAATTCTTTAAAAGACTATTTCTCAATCAGAATTCATCCCCATCCTGCCTTCCAAGAACTCTTTCATTTTTGGTATCTGAGATGGGTAGCTGGATAATAAATGATTACACTAAAAAAATCAATATACTGTTTTGTACTTTTTAAAAAAAATTGGAGCTGAGACAGGTCTAAACCTCACACTGAATGCTACAGAGACAATACCTGACTTTATTATTTCCTTCAATGCACTTAACAAAGCATCTGTTAACAACTGGGTGCCTGTATCTAGGAACTATGCATTGCAGAGCTTTTTCTGGTACCTTTTCCAATCTGGGTTCTCAGAGAATTTTATCTCTCGATTTATCATCATTTTTATCATGCTGGTAGAATCTGATGTGAACTGATGTTCAAAAATTCGGGTAATGTATCGTCTCAATATATATTGTATAGCAGAAATAAAATTGATATATTAAAAAAAAAAGCTGCAACTTTAGTGAGATTCACACTCCACCATTCTGTTGTTTCAATATTCATTTTCTTCCTTCTCCCATAAATATGTTGCCAACTGGTATAAACAGCCATCAGAGAAGTTTATCAATTTCTCTATTTAATCTTTATGTGGAAGAGTTTGCTTCTTTGCACCCCATCCCTAGTAGCATGCACCCTGTCCTATGCTGACATAATGCCATATATCCCAATTTCTTCATTGGAATGTTTAAACAAGGAACAACAATATACTTTCTAATGCCATAGCTTCAGTGTTACAAAGGCCAGCAGGTGTGTTTGCTTGGAAAGATAACCTGTTTCCACATCTGCTGATAAGACTAAATAATCTAATTCTTGTGATTTAGTTAATATTTCCCTCTTCAGCCTGCTGTGTACACAGAGGCATACTGGTTAAACTGTCTACAACAGTAGGACACTGTGCATGGCACTGTTTTGTATGATATTATCATCCTCTCACCTGGTGCCTTTAATTAAACATCTCTTTAATCATTGTACAAAAATTAACAAGTGTTGGCTCCCATTTGTTTTAGTCCTATCTTTAAGAAAAGTCATAACCAAGTCATAAATAGTCATATCAAGGGCTACTGAGTTGAAGAACAAGCACCCCAGAAATCCTCACAAAAGTCCTAGATAAAAACTTAGATTTTTTTTTCTGTCTTTCTTTCATATATCTCATCTCAACCTTTATAACCTCTCTGCAACCATTAGTGGCTTCTCTGTTTGGATCATCTCTTTATTGACTCCTTAGTCACTTTTATGGCAACACACAATTTCTTATTTTACCTTGCTTTACTCTTAAGTTTCAAGTATTGTTTTCTTGTGATCTGTTTTTCCAAAGCCATCTATTTGAGGAATTGGTTTATTTTTTAAAAAAAAGTTTAAAAAGCAATCTAAAAGGCTAGCACGAAGAAAGAATCACAAACTGAAACATAATATATAATTTAAATTATTGATCCATCCAAAGGCTGAGCATCAGTTAGACCAGTGTTTCTCAAACCCAGCAACTTTAAGAGGTACTCAATTCCTAGGAATCCTCAGCCAGAATAGGCTAATTCAATAAAACCAATAAAATGTTGAAATGAGGAGAGGGAGAAAAAGGAAAAAATGTCAAAACTAATGCAGACATAAGGAACTCGATAAAACCAATAACCAAAAAAGTTCCTTCCATGTAGATCGGGGTATCAAACTCACGGTGTCACGGTGGTGTCACATGATGTATCACTAAACCATGCATGGGCGTGGCCAGTGCGTGACACATCTAGCCCACGGGCAGGGACTTTGAGATCCCTGATGTAGATGCTACTCTGAGTATAAAGAGGAGGGGAATGTAAAAAAAAGCTCATTAGCTCATTAGTTTCAGTATTCCAGGTGTGGTCCCACTAGGGATTCATAAAGCAGTAGTAATATTTCACGTGATTTTGTATAGAATCAAAATCATGTGAAGTATTAGTACCACTTTATAAAGCCCTAGTAGAGTGGTCGCCAACCAGTGGGCCGGGGACCACTGGTGGTCTGCGAGAAAATTTTGGTGGTCTGCAGAGAAATGTCACCCCAAAGCACCCCGCAAAGCAGGCTGCATGGGAACAAAAGGCTGCACTGCTCAAATGGCCTGCAGGAACACAAG